TTTTTTTTTTTGTGATTATTAGTATGTATATCTTGTGTCTGGAAAGTATATTATTTATAAAAAATTTATTATTATTTTTTTTTCTTTTTTTTATTTCATACTAAGATCTGTTTGACTTCTTATCTTTCTACTCTATGATATTTGACTCATTCTCTTGGCATCTCTTGCTTTTGTTTGCAGTTCTCATCATTTTTTGTGAAAGACTTGTTAGATACTCCAGATATTGTCAGTAGACTTCAATTCATAGGTTTGTTATTTTTGTTATTTTTTTGTTTGTTTTGTTTTTCTAGACATTGTTTAACAAATCCAATTTTATAGTCTTTATGATTTGTAACCTCCAATAAGCTATAATCTTACAGTTACTACCAAAAATATTAGTAGGTAAGTGGTTAATACATATAACCACAAACAAAAAAATAATAGTCAGTTATTGGATAAAATAAATCAGATCACAGATAATGACACTTAGTAGAGTAGTGAGGCAGATAATGATTTGACACAGGTTTAAGACATCTATTAAGTATCATTAGATAAGTAATTTGATATAGTTTTAAAGAGTATTTCAGTTGTATATATTCAAGAACTCTATTAATAGATTTATTTAAGGGCTTTTATTAACAAATATTTTATATAGAGAGCAGATTGTATATATACTAATATGAATTTTTAAAAGAAATTCATCTTTCTATTTATAATTATTTAACAGAGCAAGAAAAAAAACAAAATCAAATATTTTTCTATCTTTTATCATTGAACTGTTATTGACTCAAGCCAATTAACCCTTTTCTGGTCCAATTTCTAACCTTTACCCACAGCCATTCTCATTAAAACATTTGATAAAATAGAAAAAGAAAAAAGTCAAATAAAGACTTTTATGCTACTATTGTTCTTTACCTGTTAACTGTATTCATTCATTTATTAACTCTTTCAATAAACCATATACTTTTCTCTTTTATGACTACACTCCTTACCCAACAAGATAATATTATCTTGATAGCTATTAACTAAATCAGATAAGCATCTTATTCTTTAATAGGATCATTGATAGGGGCTTGGCTTTCATAAGATTGTTGTATATATTCATCACTTATAAATTATGGGTCCTAGAGCATCACAGTATAATGGTCTTTTGCATAATGATTCATGCATCCAACATGCATTGTTCTACATATTTCTTGAATTCTATGAGTATGTGGTTTTGCTAGTAAAAGTATAAGCAGTATTTATTTTAACAATAATAGCACAAACAATGATATCTCAACAGAAATTTTTTTAAAAAAAATTAATTTTTTTTAAAAAAATTTTATAAGCAGAAATTTGTCTTATTGGCTAGCTTCATAGATCAATTTGTAAATCTACATGTGATTATTAGCCAATCAAATCACAATTTAAAATTTATTATTTTTATAATATTATGGTACTAAAAATGAAACATCAAGAAAAAATTCATATAAATTAGTAAATATACATAATTTATTTGATTATATACATATAAAAGATATATAGATATATATAGAGTAGGGCAAAAGTGGTACTCACTACTAAAACAAAGCTCAAATTACTAACTCTACTATCTATAAACCAGGTTGATATCTATAGTTAATAAACCCATATGCTTTAACAAACCAAATCAACTTAAGAATATCTTAAATATAAAATATAGATCTTATAGATCTCTTATACAACAAGCTTGTTTTGCTTTAAATATCTAACTAGCTTTAAAAAAAAAAGACAACTGTTTTGTTAATAACTACTTTTGTTTTTGTGCATTTTAAAATTTAGATGTAACTTTTTTTCTTTACCTCTTGCAAAAAGTCATGTCTAAGCCAACCTTTCTTAAATTAGAGATTATTAGAGATTATTTTTAAAGCTAGCTTTCTAGCACCTCTTTGAAGCTAAAGATGATGTTTGTTAAGAGTTCTTAAAAAGTACTTTAAAACATATAAATAAGTTATCTAAGCAATTGATTTGCATTAGCCAATCAGAAGAATTTTAGCTTATGATAGATAAAAGTATAACTAAAAAAAGGATGCACATATAATAATTATGCTGTCTAATTGAATTTAAGATTTTGAACACAGCAACTTGTCTGTAAACCATATACTTTGTTTCACTACATTCCTGGTATAAATTATGACTATTTTAGATCACAGCACTATTATATAACTTTGAACTAAATGCTATATTACATAGCAGTATTACATAGTCAATAAGTATATACATATGTATGTATGTATGTAAGTGGGTTAGTTATAGCAAAAAAAAAGTCACGAATACATAATCAGCGATCTTTTTTGGCCTTGTTGACATAGCCTGATAAATTATATTACACGAAAACTATATCAATATATTGACTTCATTAACTCTTTATTAATTATATTAACTGTTAATAATAAATTATATTAACTGTTAATTGATTAAATTAATCTTTGTATATACTAATTAATCAGTACTTATAAAAATTTTGTTTTGATATTAATAAATCGATATATGATAATATATAGAGAAAGCAAAATTTTGTATTTAACAATTAATATAACGATTAATAATACACTAATATATAAAGACAAAAACTTGTATAAATTTTAATATCATAGTTAAATTAATGCATTCTTATGTTTTAATTAATCAGTTTATATAAAAGTAAAAAAAAGCTTGTAAAATTTTAATTAATTTGTTAATTATTGAAAAATAAAGTATTACTCAAAATTTATTAAACTTGTTATTGCGCTTGTTATTGCACTTAATATATATAAATAGTGCCACATTGACTCAAAAATTTGTCAATAGTTATAGTATATATGAACTTCTATAAATAGCCTTCGATAAAAATCTCCAAATTAACTAAAACCTCTAAAGTGCTTGTTTTTCAAATTGAAAATGTCTACTTTTGACATTCTAACTTACAACCCTAATGATTCTACTCTAATATTCTAACTCACAATCCTAACAATCCAACTTCTAATATTCTTACTTATGACCCTAACAATAAAACTGAGTAGTGTTCTCACTGCAAACAATTTAGATTAGCTAATGAATTTATAAGATCTAGTAAAAGTACAAGTAAAATTAAAAAATTTGCGATATGTAATTACTATTCTGAAAATAATAGAATAATGAGGAGAAAAAAATGGCATAGAGATATATCAACTGACAATAAAAATATTTCACCTCTTCTTCTGAATATTGAAGTGCTTACCAATGATAGTGATAGCGAAAGTAGTGAGAATGATCTAATTTACAACATAAGTGATCTCGAAGAACTTATAACTCTCAAATTTAGAGAATATAAAGAACTAGAAACCAACGTTAGTTTTCAGTAATCGTAGAAATTAAAAATAAAATAGTAGATCAAAAAATTTTGTCTTTGGAACCTGGTCAAGATATAGAAAATAAAAAATTTTATACTATAGCAAAAATGTTGATTGTACCTATTCAAGAGAGATCTGGATACTATTAAGAAATTTGCAATTTATATCCTAATATAAAAGATGGTCAATATATAGGGTGTGCAATAGCTTGTCTATGTTGTACTCAAAAATAAGATTATTATCTAAAAAATTTTATATAAAAAACATATAAAATTTTTTTTATAAACATTCAAAAAAACTCGCCAATAATGCAGTAAAACTTTATAAGTGCATCTCTATAAGTGTATATCTACTCTATATATATACTCAAACTCGGATTTAGCTATATAGATAACCTCCATAAATACACTTTTTCTTAATATTCTCTAAGTGCATGTTATTAAAGTCTGGTCTCAAGAGTATATGCTTATAGAGGTTTACTGAATAATCAAAATATTAAAATTTTGTAAAATTTGACTAGTGGGTTATGAACCCAATTAAGTTTGTATCCCTGTATAATCCTTTATCTTTCTACTTATTGTCTAACGCATTATAATATTGTTTCAAAATCTTTTCTAAATGCATTTTGCTTTTATGTAAATAATATTACATTTTTTAATTAGGGATTAGAACCACCTAAAATTTTTCTTAATCGTTTAACTGTTTAATTTGGCTGGTATTAAAATAATTCTAGCTCACAACCAACATAATTCTGCTCAGAACTATGAAGCAATTTTTAAATGGTTAAACAGTTCCAATTCCTACTTTTAATATTATATTAGGAGTTTTGCCTCTAAAATGTTCATCAAGCTCCTTCTGAATCTGTATGCCCTAAACTAAAAAATTTAATTAATTAAACTAATTTAATTAATTTATTATTATTAAAAGATCTGATCGTGAATATAAAAGTCTAGATAACCAACCTGCAAAGCACATAAGTGAAGCACGGCCTGCCATTCAACATTTTTCATGTAAGGGTGTAATAAAAATCAAAATAGATTTATGTAAAAAAAAGCAATAATATCTATAAACCATTTGGCTCATGAACGTTCTACGTATAAGAAAACAAAATTATCCAATGATGCCATAATATGGATACAACAAAATATTAGTAATATTCCACGAAAAATTGAGTTCTATAAATAGTTTTGTAATGAGAATTTGATTAATTCGTTCTTACATACTTATTACCAAGTATATTATTGGGTACACAAATTCTCATTAAATCAATATATGACTGATATTAAAAATCAGTTAAATTTTGCAAAGAATTTTTTAGAACAAAAAGAATTAAAAGATGAAGGGTATGAAGTTATTTTATGCTGTGAGAATGAGTTCATATATGTGCTTGGCTTTACCACTCCATTCCTTCAAACTCAAGAAAATATCACTAAAATTATTGTTGACTTGACATTTAAGACAAACCAGGAGCAGTTTGAACTCTTTGCTATAAATATTAATTGTGGTGGGTATGAAGTTCTTCTTGCATATCTATATGTAGATATATATACTACACCAGGAGAATGGCTCTTAGATCCAAGATATATTTTGCATATTAAAATGTTTCTATTATTAAAAATTTAAAATTTTACTTTTAAAAATTTTAAATTTAGCAATGAAATATACACAAGAGTTGGTGTACTTATTGAATTTTTTAAAAACTTGCAGAATAAACACATTCTACCTATCCTTGTGCTGCTTGACAAAGATGCTAGAGAGATCACAGCTTTCGTGAGGCTTGGTCTCAAACTACAGTAATCTATCTTTCTCCTGGCATATGAAATATGCAATTAAATGCAAATTAAAAGAAACAAAGGTTAGGTAAGTATAGGTTAATTTTTATTTAATTTTTCAATCTTTTTTTTAATAAAAAATTATTGTATTATTACATAATAATACATAGGGTGTAATTTTTGAATTTTAGCACAAATTAAGCTTAATTTAGGTCTAAATTTGAGTTAATGCTTATAGGTGTTATTACGTGAAAATATAGTAATTTTTGATTTTTATTTTTATTTTTTTATTCTTTTTTTTTTAATTTTTTATTATTTTTTAATTTTTTAATTGTTAATTTTTTCTTTTTAATTTACTTTTTTTTAAATAAAATTTAAGGAAAAGTCAGTATACAATGCAGAAAGCAAATGAAACACATTCTTAATTTGATTTCGTCAAACCTATATAGATTCTTAATGATCAACAGAATATCATTGTGTGCTCTAAGAAATTAGAAGAAAGGTTATGAAGAATAGTTACAAAGTATTATATATTACATCCCCTTATACCAGTAGACAAAGATGTTTTTCTTACAGCAGAGCAGATTTGGTATCAAAACATTCTAGAAATCTACCAATTTTGTTACCAAAATAATCATGATAAGCTATAGGAATATTTGTGGACAAACTGGTATGATATAAAAAAATTAGAATTTGTTCGCATGATTATTCTATCCGAATACAATATCTATTGCCAAAACTACGATGATTGTAGAATCATACTGGTGTAACCTTAAACACAATTATAAATATAATTGTAATAGGCCACATTTAGATCATCTGACACAAATTATTACAAGAAATCTAGTTTTTGATATCAAAAATACTCAACAAAGATATCTTTACAATCATGAATTCCCATCATATTAGGATTCATTCAAAGAAGACTGGAGAATTGCTATAGCAAAAGATATAAATGATAAAAATAGATATTATACAGATATACATTCTTGAGTTTGCTCTTGTTCTGTATCATCAAGAAATTTTTAAATAGGTGGGTATCGATTACTAGCGGCAGGGGCGATTGCTATCGATTAGAACAATCAATGATAATCGATATTAGTTGCTAATCGATGTATGATGGATTAAAAAGCAATCGATTATAATTTGATTAATGTTACAAATCGATTACATATAAAAAAAATCGATTATCATCTTTTCTAAAAAAAAAAACCATCCAAAAAGTAGACCGCATATACTAGACTTAGGTATAAATCACCTTGGAACATAAGAGACCTGGATCTTTTATATGCCAGTTTGTGGCATTCATACTTTAGACTCAACAACTTTGAACCTTACCATAATCAGGTCTTGGCATACTTAACCTATTTTTTCAGGATTAAGGTCAAGATCTTTCATGATTTCGGATCTGAGTTGTTCTGGCTTTGTTTCTTAACTTTAGTGATTTTTGGCTCTTTCAGATCAGAATCACTTTTTATTTTTTTTATTTATGATCCAGTATTAACTTTTTTGCATTCGGGTTTCAAGATCTCTCTTGAGCTTCAAACGTAGAAGAGAACTTCATAAAATATGTTGTTTAGAATCACTAAGCAATTCGGATCTCTCATCAGTTTTAGACCATTGGTAAGGATTTTTTCTGGTGCTTTCTTTAGCAATCTTTTGAACTTGGCTGTTTTTTAACACTTTTTGTTTTCTATTATGTTGTTACTTTCAGATTCAGTATCAGATAAGTATAATTTTCTTCTTTTATTTTTATTTTTATTTTTGGGTTTATTTTATTTATTTTTTACTGGCTTATTCATCTATTTTTTTCTCTTTTTTTGTTATCAACAAGGCTTTTCTGGTAACAGATTTGGTACAAAATACAATACACATCCTGATTGACAAATTTCCGAAATACCTAAATTTTGAAATACTAAAATGCTTACACTAATACAAGACCCGACTTATCTATTCAGAAAATACAAAATCCCAAAAATTCAAAATCTTGAAAAATCAAAATCCTGACTACTAACCTTAATATTTTGCATTTAAAATTTGCAATGCTTTATCAAAATTTTGTACTTTTGAGATTTTTGAACTGTCGGAATTTTGTATCAGATTACCTAATAACGAACTTTTGTATTCTTGATTACTGTATTTCTGGTTTTTGTAAGACTAAAGATGTTCTCAAGCATCTCAATCAATCAAATAATAATCATGATAAATTAAATGCTTGAGATACTCTTCTGTTTCATGATCTATATTATGCCACCGAAAACACTTTAAAACAATTTCTACTCAACTGGCTACCAAAACTTTAATTTCGGCTGCATCTGTTTCTCCTTTAATGATTTTACAATTTAATTCTTTTGTTGCAACAGCAACAGAATCAATTTATGGGATCATTAGCGAGAGTCGTATTATAGCAACAAGAAATAAAAAAAAAAACTTTTTTTTTGTGAATATTAATATTTAAATTTTATTGAACAAAAAAATATAATAGCAGTATTCATTATAGATTGATTAGTACTGAAAAAATGAACGAAATTGACAATTTTTTTAAAAAATATTTTTTTATATAAATCAATTTGGAATAAGATTAAAATCATTTTTTATTTAAGACACAAAGTAGTTGTATTAATAAAATTTTGCAATATAGCTCTTTAAAGTTTGCATTTCTTATGATTTATTATAAGATTTATAATTTTTTTTTGTCAATTTTGTTCCTTTTCTCAACACCTAGCCCAAATGTTAAAAGATAGGTTGTATTTATTATATTTATATCAGGGTATTGATTATTTGTTTTAAAGCTTTGAAAATTAAAAATAAAATGACTATTTTTTATATTGGTTAAAAATTTTTTGATATGTAAAAATTAAAAGTAATGCTTGAGCAACCATTACAATAGTAAATTTTTGAAGAAAGAGATAGTTTGTATGTCATTGATTTGTTCAATTTCAAACTATATATTTAAAATTTTGTTTCCAATACATTAAGGTGATTGAGAACACCTAAATATATGATCAGTCCAAGACAATTTTAAAAAACAGACTATATTTACACTGTCTAATGACAATTTAAAAAAGTAAAGACCTAATACTGTAACAACAATTTTAAAAATATGAAGACAAATCAATTTAATAAAAATAAAGTAACTAAATCGGAACACTTTTCATATTTGATCAAATATGAGTGTCCCGATTTACTGTAGTTTTTTTTTAAACATGCTGTAAATGAGTGAAAAAAGCACGGGTTATGAGACCTATGCAATAAATATTCATATACTTACTATATTAATGCAAATTAGTAAGTATTAAATAATGGTAAATATATGTTGTAAGTGGAATTTAAGTGGATTTG